AGTGTAATCCTCACTATAATAGACACATTTGGAAAAAGTGTAATCCTCACTATAATGGTGATCTGTTAGACAACTACCAAACCAAGTTTGCAGGAGAATTCAGAAACTCTCCATAACCAAGTTTCATGTGTTGATCCGGTGGATCTTGGACCAACGTAAATCCGACCGTGAATCATACAAACACACAAGAACACAAAGATATATCGTGGTTCACCTCAAGTTGGGCTACGTCTACACTGATGTTGATAAATGTTGATGAAGGTTACAGTATGCATGGAGGCTATAGAGGCTTAGTATTTGCTCTCTGTATTATTTTCTGCCTCTCTGTCTGTTTCCTCTCTCATTCAGTCCCCCCTAAGTGAAGGTGAGGTGGATCCCTTTTATAAAATAAGGGTTTCCTTCTCTTACATAAATCATGGGCTCAGTAATGAAGCCCAAATATCGAGGCCCAAATATATGGTATAACATGAGTCCCCCAAGTCTTCAGTCAATAGAGTCTTTTGGCTGGAGACTTCAAATCCAATCCATGTGCGGGCCGAAGTGACTAGATGTCGTCCAGAACTAGTACTTAACATGAGACGGTGTTTAACGTCAAGCAATACTCAGCTAGAGGTAGCACACGTTGCGAGGCTGCTCGGCTAGAGGCAATGCTCTCGGTGAAGTGATTCCTCGGCTGTAGGCGGTGCTCGTTGCGAGGTGGCTTGGCTTGTGGCGTTCCTCGTTGCGAGTATGCACTTGACGTCAGCGTGCGCTCATTATAAGCAAGTGTCTGAGCAAATAGGTGTTCGATCAGACAAGAGATCATCGTTCGGACTAAATCTTTGTCACCGTAAGCATGTGTCTCATCAGTCTATAAGTTGGTAGGCTTTTTTAATCAGTGACAATGTTGATCAATAGAGCTAGTTGCTCAATAATTCCTAACAATAAATGATCGTATAAGTATGAACACATAATGATTAAATCAAATTGACAAAGTTTGTCAAGGAAAAATATTGTACTAGGTGCCTACTACAAGTAATAATTTATTCAGTTGTGTGGTAAATCACATGTTGTATAAGTGACATAGTTAAAGGCAATCACATGACACTAGGCAGCACGTTAAGGTTGCACAAATAAATGACTATTTAAACATGTGTGATGCGACTATGATTAGTGAAATCTGAGTTATGGATTTGGGAAGCATTCTTAGCATAATAATCTTAACATGATGAATGTAGGTATAATACACACATATACATACATGCATAACTATACATATATATATACATGCATAACTATCATATATATATACGTGCATAACCCTGTATTGTGTACCGTGCCCTAACATTCAAATAATGAAAATAAATGGTTTGATCAGAATATGCCACGTGTTGTAGTATAATCATGTGATAAAATCATTAAATAATGTAAACGGTGGGTGTAAAGAATAAAGAGGGTTCTAGGTGGATGTGATCAGTAGTCATGTATGACAATAATTATAATAAAATATTTAAGTAATGAATGTAGTGTTCATGAATGATTAAAGTTGGCAAGATTAAGTTGTGTGTCAGACGGTCTTGTAACAAACATTAGTAATAATAAAATAATAAATAAATAATTTAAGAAAACATAATGATGTTTTCTTTCATTCATGGTCGACAATTTCAAAGGTGAAAAGTAGAGACATTATGCAGACTAGCTTGTATACTTTTGGCCGCCAACTCACATCCACTTTTAGCAAATAAAATAAAAAAGGAAAAGTAAAAATATTATCATGATTGTTCCTTTATTTGACCCATTTTTTCAAAGGCAGAGAATTTGTTTATTTACTACAACCTATTGCTTTTTGGAGAAAGTGGAGCACCATTTATAAAATAATTGAGAAATAACATTAAGAAATATAAAATCTTGTCTTCTTCGTGAGTGTTTCCACTGGTGGATGGTGGTGACAAGGGTTCAGCCCCCACTAGCAAGCTTTTTGAGTGTGGTCAGGATCCGTTTTGTTAGGGTGACGGTGACGAGGCCCTTGCGGGTGACGGTGATGAAACCCTTGCGGAGGCCGTCGAGGCCGGGGATCGTGAGAACCATGATCGCCTGACCAACCTGTTGGCGCCGTTTTCTCCATGATTACCAGGTCCACAGGGTAAGCCGCGAGGAACTGCGGGGTCACTATCGTCATTGGGTTTGCCAATGGCTGTGTGCTCGGCCATTTGGTTTAATAATATAGGTACTCTTTTCCACTACTTCAGCTCTTCAGATGATGAGACTCTGGGATAAGAGGAGCCCTTGATGGGTTTCTGGCCGTACTTTCTCCAAGCCCAAGAATCTGACGGCGGCGAAGTGTTGTTGTTCTCATTTTTATGGGTACCGACACCACTCGTTTCTGTATAGCTCGCCGAGCACTTTTTTTTGTGGGAGAAGGTGGAAGTGGTGATCTTGGAGTGGTCGCTAAAATTGGTGGACGGTGGGGGAGAGTCTAACCTGTTTTCCGCCGTGGAGGATGTGGTGTTGTCATTCTCCTCCTGATTGCTTATAATCTGTTTGCTATTGCTGCTGAAGAATATGGGGTCCATTTTTGGAACTTTTGGAGCTCTGAATTTGATGATGATGCTTGCAGAGAAACAGAAAGCGACTACTCAGAGCAGAGACGAAGGAAAGAGAGAGGTTAGAGAGAAAGGGAGATAGAAGTTTGTGGTTTGATGAGGGGGGTTTGCGAAGGTTTTCTGGAAAAGCCAAAGATAGAGGTTTTGGGTTCTTGGGTTGTGCAGATTCAAGGTGGTGAGATGAAAAAAATGAAAGATAACCGATATAGCTTTTCGTGTTGTTTTCCACAGACGGCGCCAAATGTTGATGCACAAAATCCGGTGGATCTTGGACCAACGTAAATCCGATCGTGAATCATACAAATGCACAAGAACACAAAGATATATCGTGGTTCACCTCAAGTTGGGCTACGTTCACACTGATGTCGATAAATGTTGATGAAGGTTATAATATGCATGAAGGTTATAGAGGCTTATTATTTGCTCTCTATATTATTCTCTGCCTCTCTGTCTGTTTCCTCTCTCCTTCAGTCCCCCCTAAGTGAAGGTGAGGATGATCCCTTTTATAGAATAAGGGTTTCCTCCTCTTACATAAATTATGGGCTCAATAATGAAGCCCAAATATCGAGGCCCAAATATATGGTATAACATCATGTAATGGTGGAATGAAGAATTCAGAAGAAAAAAAGAAAAAAAAGACACATAGCTTAAATGAATAATTCAGAAGAAAAAAAATATAAAACACGATAGCAAACTGAAAGAGAGATAAGATACGAGCACTGACCTGGAGGTTAGAGTTTAAGAAGAGACTACGAGAGCTTGAAGAAGACGATGAAACAACGTCGTAAAGGGGTGTGCTGAATCGCAAGAGACGAAGGAACGGTGCATGACAAATCAGAAGCAGAGCAAAGCTTTATAAGAAATTATCCTTTACCTAAACCCAAATCAGAAGTAGACCTCCACAAACCCTAATTTTTTTTCCCCAATTAATTTTTTCCACAAACCATATCACCTTCCCCAATTAATTTTTTTCCCACCCTTCATCCCCAATTGTTTTTCCCGACACCCATACCCTCATCCCTTTGCTCTTCCCACCCCTCTTTCCTTCTTAATCTCCCATCCCCAAATTTAAAAATCCAAACTAATAAATAACAAATTTTTACAAGAGAAGCTTACCAAAGGAACCCGGAGAACGAGAGAACGAGAGAGATCGCTGGTTTTCCTGGTTCAGGTATGCGAGAGTGTGCTAAAGGCGAGAGGAAAAGAAGGCAATTTTGGGTTATTGACAAATTCATTAAATGCACCACTGTTCACCCATGTTTTCAAAAATAAGTTGTTTTTGGGAAGCTGCTATTTGCAGCTTCAGGTTTTGGCTTATTTTCACCCCAAACTTTGAAATAATGCTGCTTTTGAAAGTTTACCAAACACCAAAAACCCTCCTAGCTTTTTTTCATACCAGCTTATTTTTAATCACCTCAATCTCAAACTGCACCTAAACACTATCATAGGTATGGTGAAGTGTTCCCTATCACTCATTCCTTGATATAGTATCACTTTGGTTGCCTTGTCCTGTATACAAAACACAAGATCATCACATATAAACCAGCATCCATTGTCATGACATAACTTCTTCACTAATAATAAGTTCACAATAATATTAGGAACATGTAAGACATTTTTCAAATATAGAAAATGAGCTGGAGTGATTAGAGTAGTTGAACCAATATGTTTCACATCCAAACCTTGACCATTGCCAATGATTATCTTCTCATCTCCATTGTAAGATGTGACTTGATTTAAATTGTTGACATTTACAGTCATATGGTGTGTAGCTCCAGTGTTTAACACCCATGTATCTGCAGCAGAAAAACCTTGTGGAAAGTTATCAATCCTTGTTGGAGAGAAGCTTTGAGTTCCGTGAGCAATCATGGCAGTGATTGTTGGTGGTGGGGTTGGTGCTCCTTGATAGGCATAGTTATTCCTATGATAGCAATCCAGGGCAACATGGCCTTTCTTACCACATATCTGACATACTAATATCTAGTATGGATTAGGATTGGAACCATTGATACTCTGAAAATGACAATTAGGTGTTGTGTGACATCTCCAAGAACAGATTTGACATTCAGGTGTAATGGATAATCTGAAGTTGGTATTACCATTCCAATTCTGCCAAGTAGAACCACTTTTAGAACCACCAATAAATAACTGATCATTATAACTAGATTGTGATCCCTTGCCTTAACCAGAAGAAAAGCCACCATTATTCCTTCTGAATTTGCTACCAAAATATGGCTTTGAAGCATTGTTTCCATATGCATTTCTATTGGAATTAGATATGCCATGATTGGTTTGAGAATTGAATGACCTGTGATTACTGCCAGTAAATCCATAACCCTTTTGATAACCATTTGCTCTCATGTTTGAACTTTCTCCCATTTAAGTACCATTACCTTGATATGAACCATTTCCAAAACCTCATTGATAACCATTTGCTCCCATATTCAAACTTTCACTCTGATAAGTCCCATTAGTACCACTGTTATGATCAACAGACCTATCACCATTCATGTATATTGCAGACATAGTACTAGTAAGAGAAGTAACTTTGGACTCAAAATTTAAATCAGCACTGAAAAGTTGTGCCCTCAAGTCTTTTAAAGAAATCGGAGTGTCTCTTGCCAATATTACAGTCTTGATCATATCAAACTCCTGTGGCAAGCCAGTTAGTGCAGCAATAACCAGATCATTGTTAAAGTCCCTTTCTTCTGTAGAAATCAATTGATCCCTTATAGCTTTCAGTCTTAAAAGAAAATTTTCAATTGAATCACCTCCTTTGTGTGCAGTATGCAACTCAGTTTTCAACTGATTAATCTGTGATACTGACACAGAAGCAAAGCGATCTTGTAAAAATTACATGCTTCCTGTCATGTAACACTTCACAACTTCTAACACATAATGGCAATCGGCCTTAGAATTCATCAAATAGAAAGAAATGCTCACTGACGCAAATCAACAAACAACTAGAATGTGCAAACCTTTGCTATGTTGAAACACCATAATTCGAGCACCAAGAACAGCAAATCACTCACACGAACCGAGCAACTACAAATCATGCAGCGGAATAGCGAAAACAAATCACCAAGGTTCGACCTTCAGCGATGATACCATATTAACATTAAGCTCAGTATCTCAGAAGGAAGAAGAAAATAAAGAAAACCTTCACAGAAAAATGTAGAGAGAGAGAGAGATAGAGAGAAAAGAGAGAGAATAATGAGCTGCTATGAATGTATTGATTGATTGAGAATTACAGAGAACTGCTATATATACTACAATCTTTGCTTCATAGCTAAGTAATCGAAAACTAACTAACTTTTCTTATCCTTATAGCTATCTAACCACAATCATAACAACCTTGGCTGACGTGTAAGTCATTTGTCAAAACCCTAGCTTGCTGATGTGTACATATATCTGTCAACAATATTTACTTGTAAATTAAAAGATGTTGGGTAAATCTCAATTTACTACCCTCAAGTTTCATGGTTTTCAACATTTGGTACATAAAGTTTTTTTTTTTGTCCAAGAGTCATACCTAAAGTGTTAATTTTGGGACAGTCTCATATATCCGTTGATGTGAGAATTACTTGACACACAAATTAAACCCTCTTTTGACAATTGTAGTATAGATGTAAGTAGGGTATCGTTCTAGGCCGGGGATTAGGAGGGATTGCTAATCTATTCTAAATTAATTTAAAAATATTAAACAAGACTCAAGGACACAAAACTAGGCTAAAAACTCTAATAACTCGAAACACACTTAGAATGACTCAAAATAATGAAAAAAATCAAATTAGACACTAGGAACTGAAATGAACGGAAATTGAATTAATAGACTAACAATAAAGAAAACTAACTAAATAATATAATTTAATAATGGATGGGTGTTTGGTTTTGATGAAAAGTAAATTAAACTTAATTAAATTACAGAATTGACAAAAACATAAAATTAAGGTAAAATGATAAATGACGGACTAGCTAGAGGGTTCTTCTCCACACATGACACATATGCAACCTAAATTGATTTTCAGTTGTTCTTTCAATAAATTGTAAATCTCAACGCCCCAAATTAACCGTGAATTGCACTAATTAACCCTCAGTTTTTCCACAAGTTATTAGGTTGGATGATTGCATACGACAACCCAAAACATTCCCTACAAGTTCCCTACATGAATTACATAATAGAGATACAAGCAAGAATCATTAAGTTCTATGAAAAACATAAGCATTGACGAGGCACTCGTTACTATGATTTGCATGAAACTTATGCCAAGAATTTACTTAACGTGATTGTGACTAGCAACCTTTACTACTTGTGAATATAAGTTCATAACGATTAGGTGAAATTCACTTATATTTTAGCATCAAATTCATGCATGTAAATTAAGGGTGCACTCTCAACCAACATACACAAATCAGTTTTTATACGAACGGATAAGTAAATTGAATTCACAACTTATGAAATCACAACTGAAGGTAATCAATTCATATTACAAATATAATCATGACTTTGAATTAACCTCTAGCCAAAATCAGTTTATTTACACATTATTACAAAACAGAAATAAAAGAGAAGTTTGGAAAGATTAAACCGAAAGAGGATCTGCTGCGTTCGTGCCCACTTCTCTCTCTCTCCTGCCCGCGTCAGTCTTCCTTGCGTCAGTCTCAGCTGCAAGGGTAGCTTCCCCCGTGCTCACCTCTCTCCATACTCACCATGCCGTGCTCACCTTTGGACTCTCCCCGCTTCACTCTTCTGACCGTCCTTGCGAGCTGCCCCTCTGACTTTTCTTCCGCTGCCAAGCTAAAGCTGCCCAAAGGCAGCTTTCCTCCAAGGCTCCTGCCCTCTCGTTTCTCTCACTACCGCTGCCCAATGGCAGCCCTCGTGTTCTCTGTCCGTGCTCACAGCTGCCAAATAGCAGCTGTTCCTCTTCAGCCTCCTGTCCGTTTCACTTCTCTCTCTCTGCGTCTCTGCGGGCTGCCCAAAGGGCAGCTCCTTTCTTTTCTCCCCCTTCTACACGCCCCCTTCTGCACGCCCCCCCTTTCCGTGCCTTTCTATCCCTATTTTATTTCTTTTCTATCCCACCTAACTTCCCTCTATCCTCCTTTCTTATTTTTCTTTCTTTCCCCACTCAAACTGCGCTGTCAGTCTCTCCCCGCCAGTGCTGTGCCTCTGTTTCCACCTCTCTCTTATTTTATTTCCACTCACGCTGCCAAGGGCAGCTCCCCCTTATTATTTTTTTTGCACTACCTCAGTGCTTTCTCTCCACTCGGGTTCCGCGTTCCCTTCTCCTATCTTTTCCCTATTTTATTTTTCTTTCCTGCTGACCAGTCCTCCCCTTCTTTTAGCTGCTGTGTCTTTTCTTTTCTCTAAGCTTAGTTAAACCTGGAAGATTTAAGTCTTCTATATCAACTTCATTTGATGAAGCATAATGTCCCTGTATAACCTCCAGTAGCTCTTTAAGACTTTCAGTATATAATCTCACTGACTGCAAACTCTGAATAAAGAGATCCTGCATGCAAATTTCACACAAACATGTCGAAAATGAGTTTTTCATTAAATTACTTTTCAGTTTATGTTTTTGGCTAGATAGTAAAGACGTTAATTACTCTATGTACTTATTTCCAACTTATTTTAATGGAATACAATCTTGACGAAGTTATTACATAAAATTTCACTTGTTCTATTTTTATTTTCTTTGCATAACAAATCCTATAAACACAAAAAGAATGTAAATAGCTCAAAAATATAAGGAACTAACTAAGAAAAGACGAGAGAATTCGAAGTAAAAATATATATAAATATGATCCGATCAAATACCCACACACTTAACTTTTGCTAGTCCTCGAGCAAAATAAAGAAAACAAGAACAGGAAGTAACAAGAAAAACATTAGCTTCCCTCTATGTGACCCTCATAGAATTTCATTTGAGAACACAAATCATCAAGAAACATAGCTAGCACCAAACAAGTTAATCCAAGTTCAACTTCCTTATTCAAATATTAGCAGTAATCTTTGAATCATCCTTGAAGTGTAGTGTGTGAGATAGACATGCTAATGCAATTTCAAGTTTTTTTTATTTTTAAAATCATCATATGCAAACTAGCGACCTTCTCACGGGATATGCACTCAATCACACATGTGTTTAGTTTTAATGTGTTTCGCTCAAAGAATCAAATGTGAAATTTCTACCATAAGCTTGCATAAAGATCACTTCTCCACAGTCATAATTGCAAAACTTAAATCAAGAGGACTTTTATTGGATGTAATGAGGCTTAGGGATAGGGTTATTGAAACGAAAGAATAGGAAAACACAAGTTCCAAGCTACATTGCAAGCAATTCTTTTGTTTAGATTTATAAGAACTCAAGCTCTCCAACGATTCTTCTGATACCTCCAATCACACCCTTAAACTGAAACTTTAAAAACTTTTTATTTTCTTTGTATACAATCTTTCTTTTTTTTTTTTTTTTTTTTTTTTTAAATACAAACATGAAATACCCCACACTTATTCTTTTGCCAAACACCTTCAAAGTACTTCACAAACGTTTCTCATAAGACAATCTCACATTGCTCACTAGCTTGCTTGGAAAGGGTAAGGAAAAATGTTTCAGGTATAAGGGTAGACATATCTGGTGATAAGAAATAAAAGGCTAAACATATACGGCTCAAATTGGCAATCTAATGATATCATTTTTCTTTGGGAAACATGGTTATTTGGGCCATGGTGGTAAACCTAATGCCTCTATCATTTCCAAGTTCATGCAATCAATGACAAACATTTCGAAAGATCGTTACGCAAGTTCTAGAGATGTATCTCACATAAGTTCCTCACACATGAAAGAATAGGAGTGTATGAAAAATGCACACACTTTCAATCGGCTCAAAAACTCACATAGGATGTATATGGTCACTAAATTCACATATGAAGCTTTAAGTCATACTTTAGTTTCACATTAACAAGGCTATGTGCATTTGGTTTTTCAAAGATGGTCAAATATGTACAAAACTAACAAGAGAATTAGGAATTTCATAAAACACATGTTAACTAAGTTCTTGATAATCGTGATTCAAATTTGATCTAATTATATCATTGGGTCGGGAAACTAACAAAAATCTAATTCAAAACAATAAGGGAAACAAGACAATATTTTTGGATTTTTAAATTTTCCGAAATTTTTTAAATTTAAATTTTTTTTTTAAAAGAAAACAAAACTAATTAAGAACACAAAAAACAACAACACAGTTTTTTTATTTTTTTTTAAAAGAAAACAAAACTAATTAAGAACACAAAAAACAACACAGTTTTTTTTATTTTTTTTTAAAAGAAAACAAAACTAATTAAGAACACAAAAAAAAACAACACAGAAACAAATGAAATTCTGGAGATTTCTACCCCCCACACTTAAACTTGACATTGTCCCCAATGTCAGAAAACACTATAATGCAAATAAAAATAAAATAAATAAATAATAAGAAACAAAATAAAACAAGTGGACTGAAAACTTCTCTAATTTGCAGTAAAATCAAGCGATGACCCCCAAGCTAAAATTCTGCAATCAACTTCAAGGGTGGAAATAACCAAAAGTTCCTGCAAAGAAAAGAATTAATTCAGTTAAGTAACACAAGAAAATATATAAAAATAAAAATTGCAAACGAAAAATTGAAAATCACGATAAAAGACAATGAATAGAACTAATAAGTGATCATTGGTCGTGCTTGTTGACTTTCCACAGCTTTCCTCTTGAACGGGGTGACACTTAGCTTTTTACTTGCAAGTGATGATTTGATGATATTGTACGGCGAAGCTTTGCTCTTTGGTGATGTTGCAGTTCCTTATTTGTTCTCCAAGCAGATGTGGCAGCTTCTCTAGTTCCTCAGCTTGGACTCCTTCCGCTGGGATGATTGTGCAAGCTGCATTCTTCTCTGCTTGTTTCTTCTGTACGTTGTCTCCACATGCTGTTGGTATCATTTTCGCTTGCCTTATCTGTTCTTCAGGTAGATGTGGCAGCTTCTTTGGAAGTACATCAGCAGTGGAAGACGAGTACTTG